ATGTTGCTCTCGCGTCGCACAGGCATGCCCTCTGGCGGCGGGCGCTCGGGCACAAGCAGCGGGGGCAGCGAGGGTAGCTTGGCTGGCGGATCTTCTCCTGGTGGCAGCGGTGGGACGACCGGCGCCGGGAACACTGGTGGCAGCGGTGGGGGAGGCGGAGGCGGTGGAGACGCGGGTGGAAGTGCCCAGGAAGGTGGAGTGACTGGCCGGCTGGGTGCCCTGATACCCCCGATGATCATTGTGCTCGTGGCATCAGTGGGAGGAATCATCATCGTTGCTGTACTCATCATTCTCCTGTTGAAGAGACGGGGGCGGAACAGACGTCTCGAGAGGGAGATGGAACAGGTAGGCCGAAGAATTCTATGAATGTTAGAATTAATGTCTTATGAATAATCTACAGAATCATATTATATATTTCTATTATATCATACATTTTTGAAAGACGTATGGCAGAATAAAACTAGTTATAGAGTGATTAAGATTTCAAAGATACAAATATTTTTCATAAATATTTCTTTTCTTCATTGGCAAATCTAATCCTAAGTCGATTATTAAAAAAAAATGTGGATATACTTGAAGAATGACTTACAGCCTTATATAACTGTAACATACAATAGAAATGGAATTCGTAAATGTTCTCCATATAGAGTAAATCCTTTGCATTCTCTGCTTTCCTTTCATCACTGAGCTCAGGTCCAACTATAACGGAATACTGCAGTTTCCATTAGCGAAGGTAAAAAGGGTTTATCCGAAATAATTCCTTCTGGGTTGGTGGTATCTACAGTACTTATTAAAGTGGCCCCTCCATCTCTCTTCCTCTATTTATATGTACCTATGTTTCAATTTCAGTTTGTGTATCTATCTATTCGCACGCACGCGCGCGCACACACACACACACACACACACACACACACACACACACACACACACACACACACACACACACACACACACACACACACACACAACACACTCACACAGCCACCTAAATTTCTTGCCAATAAAAATTCTCTATCCTTTTCCTTTCCCTCCTTTCTACCTCCCTCTCCTCCTCCTCCTTCCCTCCTCTCTCTCTCCCTCCCTTCCTCCCCACTCTCTATCCTCTCCGGCCCTTTCCCTCTCTCCCTACCTCTCCCTCTCTCACTCTACCCCCTTCCCCCCTCTCTCTCTTCTTTATTCTCTCTTCCCTCCACACCAAAACCGACACGTCCCCCAAATAGTTTTCGTTCTTCCCATCCTTATTTTGACAAAGAAAAAAATATATGTTGATTCTAGGTCAAACTGAACGAAGAAATGGTGTTTGTGCAGACACGGACTCCTGACACCACTGCGTCCCGAGAGACCCCAGGTGAGACAACGGTGATGGAAGAGAGAAAGAGGGTCAGGTAAAAGTGGGTAAAAGGGATAGGGATAAATGAAGGGTTTGGGAGATACAGAAAGGGAGAGGGAGTAGTGGTAGCGGGAATGGAAAATAGAGGGAAAGGGGAAGGAATGAGGGAGGGAGGGAAAGAGAGAGAGAGAGAGAGAGAGAGAAAGAGGGTCAGGTAAAAGTGGGTAAAAGGGATAGGGATAAAATGAAGGGAGATACAGAAAGGAAGAGGGAATAGTGGGAAAGGAGAAGGAATGAGCGAGGAAGGGAAAGAGAGAGAGAGAGAGAAAGAGGGTCAGGTAAAAGTGGGTAAAAGGGATAGGGATAAAATGAAGGGTTTGGGAGATACAGAAAGGGAGAGGGAGTAGTGGTAGGGGAATGGAAAATAGAGGGAAAGAGAAGGAATGAGGGAGGGAGGGAAAGATAGAGAGAGAGAGAGAGAGAAAGAGGGTCAGGTAAAGTGGTTAAAAGGGTTAGGGACAAATGAAGGGAGAACAGAAAGGAAGAGGGAGTAGTGGTAGTGGGAAAGGGGAAGGAATGGGGGAGGAAGGGAAATAGAAAGAGAGAGAGAGAGAGAGAGAGAGAGAGAGAGAGAGAGAGAGAGAAAGAGGGTCAGGTAAAAGTGGGTAAAAGGGATAGGGACAAAATGAAGGATTTGGGAGATACAGAAAGGAAGAGGGAGTAGTGGGAAAGGGGAAGGAATGAGCGAGGAAGGGAAAGAGAGAGAGAAAGAGGGGTCAGGTGAAAGTGAATAAAAAGGATAGGGATAAAGTGAGGGGTTTGGGAGATACAGAAAGGAAGAGGGAGTATTAAAAAAAAAGAAAGTGAGTGAGAGCGAAGAAAAGAAAAATAATAAACTAATTAAGAAATCATACTTCCATACAAATACATATATAAGTGTACCTTCGTACATCAGTATGCCTTTACATATCTGCACGTATTCCTTCCTCCTTACGCCCACGGATCCCCAAGGAAGAAGAGTTAGCAAGAATAACACTCGAGAACATTAGTGGTTAGGCGTAAAAATGGGGTTCAGTTAATTAAGGTCGACAGGAGAAGAATGGAGAAGCAATGTTAGCGAATGTTTGTCTTTTCTAAAGGCAGACTCTGGGAGATGGATTTGTTGGAGGAGGTGTGTCAGTGTGGGAAATAGTTAACATGAAACTCCTAGAATGGCAGTGTGGGAAATAGTTAACATGAAACTCCTAGAAATAGGATGATGATGATGTGTCAGTGTGGGAAATAGTTACATGAAACTCCTAGAATGGATGATGATGAGAAGGAGGTGTGTCAGTCATGAAACTCCTAGAAATGGGATGATGATAATAGGAAAATTAAATGTGTCAGTGTGGGAAATAGTTCACATGAAACTCCTAGAAATAGGATGATGATGTTGAAGGAGGTGTGGGAAATAAATAGGAAATGGATGATGACAGTCATGAAACTCTAGAAATAGGATGATGATGTAGAAGGAGGTGTGTCAGTGTGGGAAATAGTTAACATGAAACTCCTAGAAATAGGATGATGATAATAGGAAAATTAAATGTTGAGTGGGAAATAGTTCACATGAAACTCCTAGAAATAGGATGATGATGTAGAAGGAGGTGTGTCAGTGTGGGAAATAGTTAACATGAAACTCCTAGAAATGGGATGATGATAATAGGAAAATTAAATGTGTCAGTGTGGGAAATAGTTCACATGAAACTCCTAGAAATAGGATGATGATGTTGAAGGAGGTGTGGGAAATAGTTATGAAACTACTAGAAATGGGATGAGGATAATAGGAAAATTAAATGAGTGTGGGAAATAATTATGAAACTACTAGAAATGGGATGATGATAATAGGAAAATTAAATGTTTCAGTGTGGGAAATAGGTCACATGAAATTCCTAGAAATAGGATGATGATGTTGAAGGAGGTGTGGGAAATAGTTATGAAACTACTAGAAATGGGATGATGATAATAGGAAATTAATGTGTCAGTGTGGAAATAGTTCACATGAAACCCCTAGAAATGGGATGATGATAATAGAAAATTAAATGTGTCAGTGTGGGAAATAGTTCACATGAAACTCCTAGAAATGGGATGGTGATAATAGGAAAATTGAATGTGTCAGTGTGGGAAATAGTTCACATGAAACTCCTAGAAATAGGATGATGATGTTGAAGGAGGTGTGGGAAATAGTTATGAAACTACTAGAAATGGGATGATGATAATAGGAAAATTAAATGTGTCAGTGTGGGAAATAGTTCACATGAAACTCCTAGAAATGGGATGATGATAATAGGAAAATTAAATGTGTCAGTGTGGGAAATAGTTCACATGAAAACTAGAAATGGGATGAATAATAGGAAAATTAAATGTGTCAGTGTGGGAAATAGTTCACATGAAACTCCTAGAAATGGGATGATGATAATAGGAAAATTAAATGTGTCAGTGTGGGAAATAGTTCACACGAAACTCCTAGAAATGGGATGATGATCAAATGTGTCAGTGTGGAAATAGTTACATGAAACTCCTAGAAATGGGATGATGATAATAGGAAAATTAAATGTCAGTGTGGGAAATAGTTAACATGAAACTCCTAGAAATAGGATGATGATGTTGAAGGAGGTGTGGGAAATAGTTAACATGAAACTCCTAGAAATGGGATGATGATAATAGGAAAATTAAATGTGTCAGTGTGGGAAATAGTTAACATGAAACTCCTAGAAATGGGAAGATGATAATAGGAAAATTAAATGTGTGAGTGTGAGAAATAGTTCACAGGGAACTCCTAGAAATAGGATGATGATGTTGGAGGAGGTGTGGGAAAATAGTTAACATGAAACTCCTAGAAATGGGATGATGATAATAGGAAAATTAAATGTGTCAGTGTGAGAAATAGTTCACATGAAACTCCTAGAAATGGGATGATGATAATAGGAAAATTAAATGTGTCAGTGTGGGAAATAGTTCACATGAAACTCCTAGAAATGGGATGGTGATAATAGGAAACAGTGTGGAAATAGTTTGAAACTCCTAGAAATAGGATGATGATGTTGAAGGAGGTGTGGGAAATAGTTATGAAACTACTAGAAATGGGATGATGATAATAGGAAAATTAAATGTGTCAGTGTGGGAAATAGTTCACATGAAACTCCTAGAAATAGGATGATGATGTAGAAGGTGTGGGAAATAGTTATGAAACTACTAGAAATGGAAGATGATAATAGGAAAATTAAATGTGTCAGTGTGGGAAATAGTTCACATGAAACTCCTAGAAATAGGATGATGATGTTGAAGGAGGTGTGGGAAATAGTTATGAAACTACTAGAAATGGGATGATGATAATAGGAAAATTAAATGTGTCAGTGTGGGAAATAGTTCACATGAAACTCCTAGAAATGGGACAGTGTGGGAAATAGTTCACATGAAACTCCTAGAAATGGGATGATGATGTTGATGTGGGAAATAGTTATGAAACTACTAGCAGTGTGGGAAATAGTTCACATGAAACTCCTAGACAGTGTCACATGAAACTCCTAGAAATGGGATGATGATGTTGAAGGAGGTGTGGGAAATAGTTATGAAACTACTAGAAGATGATAATAGGAAAATTAAATGTGTCAGTGTGGGAAATAGTTAACATGAAACTCCTAGAAATAGGATGATGATGTTGGAGGAGGTGTGGGAAATAGTTAACATGAAACTCCTAGAAATAGGATGATGATGTAGAAGGAGGTGTGTCAGTGTGGGAAATAGTTAACATGAAACTCCTAGAAATGGGATGATGATAATAGGAATATTAAATGTGTCAGTGTGGGAAATAGTTAACATGAAACTCCTAGAAATGGGATGATGATGTTGAAGGAGGTGTGGGAAATAGTTATGAAACTCCTAGAAATGGGATGGTGATAATAGGAAAATTAAATGTGTCAGTGTGGGAAATAGTTAACTAGAAATGGGATGATGATGACGGAAATGGGTTGTTAATGGATAATTCTGGTTCAAGAAGTTACAAGATAGGGATGAAAGCCAAACCCTTTAAAAGAAGCCATTTGAGTATTTGATGTTATATTTACATTTTAGAAATGCAAATATTTACATATATATTTAGCATGACTTGACTCTGAACTAATTAGTCAAAAAATCATAATGAAAATTTAGAATGAGGATCGGAAGCATTATATGTAGCTTATGAAGCTCCTTTGGCAAACATTGTACATACTTTTAATCATTATCGTCCTTATCTACAGTATCCATAAGGAAGAATATCGACAGCAACGACGGAGCGGGAGGAAGCGGCAGCGAAGGAGGAGGAACGGACGGAGGAGGAAGAGGAGGAAGAGGAGGAGGAGGGGGAGGAGTAAGCACCGGGGAGGCGGGGGTGATGGGGGGAGGGAACGTGGTGATCCTCGGGGGCGCGTCGTAGGAGGGGGTGTCATGGGAGTCAACACGCCCGAGGTTGTCGTGGGCGCGGGAGTAGGAGGAGCAGGAGGAGGAGGAGGAGGAGGAGGACTAGGAGGACCCGGCGTAGGAGGACTAGGAGAGGAGGAGGACTAGGAGGACCCGGCGTAGGAGGACTAGGAGGCCCAGGAGTCCTTGGAGGCATCGGGGGCGTGATGGGGGGCGTGCCGTGCAGCATAGGGGGCGGTTCCTTTGGCTCCTGCAACGGAGACGTCCTGACCGCCAGCTCCAGGGACTCGCTCCTGGGACACCGCGCGAAGCAGGTGAGGGGGAGTGTGTTGCGTGTGTGTGTGTGTGTGTGTGTGTGTGTGTGTGTGTGTGTGTGTGTGTGTGTGTGTGTGTGTGTGTGTATGGTTGTGTGTGTGTGCGTGCGTGCATACGTTTGTTTGTTTGTTTGTGTGTGCGTGTGCGTGTGTGTGTGTGTGTGCGTGCGTGTGCGTGTTTGTGCATGCGTTTGTGTGTGTGTGTGTGTCTCTGTATGTGTTGTATACCTGTATATTTATGTCCGTCCGCGTGTGTGTATGATTTTGCAATAATAAAAGTGTAAGTACATCACCACCCAATCCTTCCTTCGCCCAGGGGGACATGATGGACTCCTTCCGGGCAGAGGACACGACCCTCCCCATCCTCGGGATTCAGAAGCTCGGCGAAACCCCCGGCCGACACGTGGTCTTAGAAGGTTGGTTGATCACCCCGGCTTATGGACTGCTGTTTCCTGGACGTGTGAATATTTGTCGATTATATTGGTGGAATTTAACTTTTTATGATAGGAAATGGTGTGAATTATATTTTAGATTTGATTTTTTTTTTTTCTTTAAGATAGATAGTTATTATAATTGCCTATGATGATAATGGATGATGTGATGATAATGATTGATGATATGATACTGATGATGACAATGTTAATAGGAGTAAGTCCTGATGATTAAAAAAAAAAACGATTTCCTTGAATACTTTCCTCTCGAGACGCTGCCACGCCCCTCCTCTCCCCAGGCATGCGGCCGCTGGGCACCGCGCTGAGTACCTCGTGTTCCAGCTTCAGGGGCGGCGTCCCCACAGGCGCCCTCGGCACGGTGGGCGGCCTCGCGAGCCTGACGGGGACGACCGGCCTGATCGAGACGCCGTCGACGTCCGCCTCACACCTCCTGCAGGTCACCCTCATCCCGGAGGAGGCGGGGAAGGACAGGAGCCCCTCGCGCGTCCCCCGGATCTCGGAGGGCGTGAGCGTCTTGTGAGACCGCGTCTAACCCCGGGGGCGTCCTCCTTGGCCCCGGGAGTCTCCGCTAAACATACTTTATGATGGAGAAATTCAATAGAGTTTTGATAACACTAAAACAAACAGAGTGGCCGTGAACATACTCCTCTCTAGCCCTTGTGACTGCAGCGAAGCCCCCTGGCGAGCGGGCCGAGGGCGTGCGTGTGCGTGCGTGTGTGCGTTCGAAGGGGACGACAGGCCACCGGGACCAGCTGAGACCTGCCGATTCTCTCCGTTGTATAATCATTTCCTTTTTATTCCTCCGCGTCTACCATTCCCTACATTATCAGTATATCTCATTCATCTTCGGTGATGTATTTCTCTGGTGTTTGTGATGAATGGAGTCTCAATATCCTTCGAGGGGAAATCAGAAGAAGAAAAATAGGTTTTCGAAGTGGTGTTGTGTCTGACATGCTCACATATCTCACGTGATATTTTTCCAGCTCACTGTAGTTAAGAAAAAAAAAAAAAAAAATTTTGAGGAAAA